TTTGATGGTTTTATGATCGGAGTAGAGGGTCTTGATTTGTCTTCAGTTGGTAAGAAACTTTGTATGTAGTCTTTTGTTTTTGTATAAAAATCAAGAACTTGTCCGTATTGATTCTGTACAATGTAGGAATGGTTTTCATCACACAACTCACGTACCTGGAGGTGAAGGTTGTGAAATTCCTGCCAGTAAGTATCCAAAGTCTCCAGTCGTTTTTTGATATGAGCAGCAGTCCTACGGTCGGCGCCGTCCTTTTTGAAGTTGCTGAGCAGCTGCTCCATACCAGAAACCATCTGTTGTTGATTTGCTTGTAAATCTTCCATGATGTTGTTGTTGATAGGTATTCGCTAAGTGTTAAGTGAACTGATCGCTTCCTGTTTGCGGTCCGTGTGACGATGAACTTCCAGCGATATATTATGCGCCTTCTCAATCTGCCTGGTGAGACCCGCTTCTGGGAGGCCAGACAAACCGATTCGCTATCACCGAAAAAATCACAATCACACTTCACTCTCGAAGGACCAAAAAGATGTTGTGGTATTCAACACCTTTTGATGTAAATGTTACTTAAAATACTGTTTATGCACAAAATGTTTATTATATTGTTATAATATTATTGTTACAATGTTTATAAATGTTATATGTTTATAAATGTTATGTATGTGAGCACACACGAGACAATGTTGGCGTCCGTACATGTACTGACTTAAATAAAAACTTTAAAGTAAAATGCCTACGCGTACATAATGTGTTCGGTGTAAACTGAACACACCTGGTACTGCGCATACAGGTAAGTCACATAAAAATTCACCCGAAAAAAGGTGGATGATTCAAATAATAATAATGACTATCCGTCAGTAAGTTGATAAAGAATTAAAAAAAATAGCACACTTCTGAAGGGCAAACTAACCCAAAGTGGTATTTTCAAAAATTACAAAAAAGTGTTTGATTTAATCTGCCATTTTTACAGGCTGTTTGTTATATATTATAATGAAACTGATACTATTCAACAAAGTTTCATGACGCATCAAACACTTCATGAAAAATGCGTCATGAGCTCTCGGACCATTTCTAGAAAATTTTTGTAGTTCATTTATTAATATACAGCAATATAAATAGGGAGGTCTAGCTTCACCTCAACAGCGTTGTATTACTGTCATCTATGAGAAAGTCTTCACAAATGCTGAAAATTTAATTACATGAACACCATGCGTTGCTTTAAGGTGGCACAAGTCGCGGGCTCGAACTCGCTGGTGGGCGCGGCGAAAAAGCACGCTGTCTCACCTGGCATCGTGCCCGACAGAGATAGTATCAGTGATGAGCATATCGACACTAGTATTCACGCATGTCTTGTTCGTACGGCGTTCCGAACCGTTTGAACAAAAACGAAGTTACAATATATACACGAACACGATGCAACATCTATACTAATATAATAAAGCAGAAAATATAGATCTTTACTCCGTCTAAAAAAAGTCCGCGATACCATATGTCTATTTTTTATATATAAGCTACAATTAGGCATTTTGATTTTGACAAAAAAAAAGAAAATTTAATTATTAGGCATGACATATTTATCCTTACGAACGAAAGTTACTTCATTATCAAGACAATTTTTTGAAGATAAAGTTCGTTCTTTATACCATGTTTATATAGTACATAGGTTAAGAGATAATGTAAAATTAAAATAATTCAATACTTGGCCTTGACGCGCAAACAACGCATAACCCCTAGCCTAGCCCGGTGCGAACTGAGAAGCCAGTATTGAAAGCTTCTATGAGCGAGGTTAGGTTAGCCGTTAGTTCAATCATTATCTATATCTACACAAATAAATAAAATTGAAGTGTCTGTTTGTAATGTCAAAATAACAGCTTTTTACTAATTGCATATGAAATTATATACGCTACTTATAACATTAACATAATTTTTAACATTTTTGTATGTCTGTCAGTCTGTTTGTTCCGGTTAATTTCCAAAACGGCTGGACCGATTTTGACGGGACTTTCACTAGTAGATAGCTCATGTTATAAGAAGTAACTTAGACTGCTTAAATTTTAGAAAAATTATTAGGTGTCCGTGCAACAAAATTAACACCCTAAACTAAATGCGGACGAAGTCGCGGGGAACAGCTGGTAGCTAAAATAAATTCAAAATTAACTGAGTGCTTTTATCTATCTCCCAGGTGAGCGTAACAATGATTAGTTACATCTTTATTTCTGAACTCTTTCATTTCACGTTGCTATGGTATTTTGAAAGTTTAATTGATTAATAAGTATAAGAGGTTGATAGAAAATTTATCAAGAATCATTTCTTGCCTACACACTTTCATGTATCGTGTACGTTTTTCTTTAAAACTGGATAAAACCGCGCATAGTATGCCGACAGATAAAATAAAAGTACCCCATTAATTATGACAATTTTTCTATACATTATTATTAAATTAAATATTTGATTGCAATTATAAAATGCTTGAACTAGGTGTCATGTCATGCCACGCATCTCGGACACGTGATGACGCGGGTGAAACCGCGAAATTATTAGGCGCTGCTTTATCGCTTCATATTATACCTCTGTGGCTCTATATACCTAATATAGATTGCTTACTTTATTATGTTTAGTTTTTCCCGAGTGGTCATGCAGCGATCACTCAAGAGTTCGGCTTCGAACGTGTATAACTGCAAAAATTATCCAACGGGAACGAAATACCTGAATAAACGGTATCATATATGTTATTTACAGCTCCGTGGCGCAGTTGCTTAGCAATGAATTGTTGCACTGGCAGCCGCGGGTTCGAATCCCGCACGGAACAAGTATTTGTATGGCCTGCAAATAGTTGTTCCGGGTCTGGATGTTTGTAAACTGCCTCCACGATACAGGAGAAAATCCTAGTGTGGGGGTAACGTTTTTTTAAAAAAAAAAAAAAAAAAATAAAATTCCAGACTATAACCTATCTCTGAGCAAAATATCATCCAGGTCCCTTCAGCGGTTCTGGTGTGATTGAGTAACATACATCCATTCATCCGTCCATCCAAATATCCAAACTTTCGCATTTATAATATTTAGATAATAGGTAATTGTAATTAGTTCTGCCTACCTATAAATTGTTTTCAAAAATACTTACCTGACTTCTTACTTTTTTTATATATTACTCAATATCACTAAATGTAAACACAGGTTTTTATCAAGACAAGTGACCCATCAAGATTGTTTTCTTAGTACTGACGTACCTACCTAAAGTTTACAATTTTGTGGCCACGACGCGGTGACGTTTTGTGACATTTTGTTGTATTGTAGGTTGTAGGTATCTAGGTAATAACAGTAGGTACCTATGAAAATCCCACATAATGTACCTTGTTTGTCCGCCGCAAGAGTCGTCTAATAAATAATTAAACTGTTTTGTAATTCTTTATTTATTTATAACACTTGCATTGAGAGCCGTGGTAGCTCAGATGGTTAGCGCTCGCGTAAGTATCACATTACGCGAGCAACCCGGGTTCGATCCCCGTCGGCACCAATGAAATTGTTGCAATTTTATATAGTAATCGTATATAGACTTTACTTTTTTTACTTTTATAATTATATTATATTACAGACGAAAATTTTACAATATTGTCTGTCGTCCAAAACGCATCATTCATCTCTTTCAATTATATCAATTTCCATGCTGTCTTTTGTCTTTGGCGTCCAAATTACAAAATAGCAAAACTTTTCGTTTCGAATAAAACTCGAATAAGCGTGCGTCACCGCCCGTGCATGTGTGTGTAAGCGTCGTCCTCCCGCACCGCACCGGGGGAAACATTATTCAGTGAGATGCACGATAATTCATAGTAACATACGCGCGTAAAAAAATACGAAAAGGCCTTTGGAAGAAGGGGTTTTATGAAAAAACCACTGCATAAATCAATTACGAATAAAATTTATTGAATTCTTCGATAATTGAGCTGTGTCGGTACCGACTTTGTTTTGGAAATTTTACACTTCTTTTATTACTAATTTACGCCCAAAGTTGTGTTAAAATTGGCAATAAAAACGAATCTTTGGTAGCCCGTAACTTTTTAATAACATTTTATTTTACTATTCTGTTTCCGTACAGACAAATTTAATAATGAGACAAAACGATATCATGTTTAACTTTGGATGTACACTGTCAAACAGCGTAGTAAAACCCCTCCGAAATTTGTATGGAAATATTGTCGACTAGTGTCACCTTAAGAGTTGAAATTGGATGATAGTGCAGAGATTATTGGTCTAAATACAGTCAGATATGTGACATTAGGTTTCAATGATTTCCCCGTGGACATATGGTCACAATGATGGTTTAAGACCTGGCTGTCCACGCATGGTAGATCTATACCTTTTGCGTTAACTTATTAAAGCTAAAGGAAATAAAACAATACCATTTCGTGATGTACATAAGGAGGCTTCAAAACGAGAGCATTTAGACTGCACTTCATGTCATTATAGAAACATCAAAGTTAAGTCAGCACAAGGTTACTGCATTTTGCAATATCAGTCTAATAAGAATATCAACACAGCTTTAAGCATGCTGCACTTTTGTTGATATCAATTTTCGTCCTATCTAAACAAGTATACTTAATTTTCATTAGAGACTGGAGAATATGTTAAAGTAAGTGTAACAAGAGATGAGAATGTCGTTTGTAAATCATTCCATGCAGTGAAAAATGTCACAGGAACTTATATTGCGAAATTTACACAGCTCAAGATTTTGGAACTCATTTGGCAAGATCCACCTCATGCTCCATATTCAATGGACCATGATGTTGTGGGAACTTAGAAACTTAGAAATTTCCTAAGAGATAAAAATATATGATAAGAAAGGGGGATCTTGAATTTAGCCAGGCCTTGTCTGTGAACCGCAAAATTTCAAAGATAGTTATTGTGTGTTAATTGTAAATACATTTTAAAAATTTGCATGCATTTAAAGAAAAGCATCTTGTCAATAAATCATGCTGGCAATGTTAGTTAACTTTAACCCAGAAACTAACCAAAAGTTTGAGTAAAGTCCATCAGAGGCAAGCATGGGGGCAACCACAGTAAAATCCTTATTGACCAGAACTTTTAATGTTGACGGATTTGTCAAAAACACATCGGCATCTATCATCTGTAAAGGAAAAATAGTTCTTAAATTTTGTTACCAGTTCTATTACCAAATTGAATGCATACATTAACTATAGTTTATCTAGTAATGATATTAATTAAATTTAAACTAGTATGTTCAATAAACAAAATGTTTCTTTACACATTTTTTTTATTAGTAAAGAATTGGTAAATAAATTGGTAAGTTTATTTAAGTTTTATTTAATAGATATTAACAAAACTAAATAAATTAAAGCTACAACATAAGATGGAAAACTACAGTTAATAAAATCCTTGCTATTTTATTGAACTTACAAAAATAAAATCAGCCCACATTCTTCTAGCGAATCTAATAGCATCTTCTCTCAAATGGATGACATGTTGAAAATGCTGAGGACTCCAATTTGTAGATATTTTCTCATCAGGATGCAGTTGTCCAGTTGTAGTATTTGTTGTTACATAAATAGCATTGTAGTCTGGACCATATTTTTCAACCCAGTCTTCTATTATATCCACACTGTTATCTGCATTAAAGTCACTGTAAATCCTAAAAAAAAAAAGAATTCCAAATAAAGCAAGCCATAAAACAAAGGTTGAATACCAATTTTCACAAGGGCAATATTTGCCATTGCTTGGGAGGAAGGATTCTATTCTATTCTATAGAATAAAATAATTTGTAATTCATTCAATTAAATTTAACAAGGTCTTCTATATTAATCCTCAGGGGTAACAAAGCATCTGATCAAAGATTCTTAATAGAGGATAGATATAGTTGTCTATGGGCCACAGCAGCCACTTACTATCAGGGGGACCGTATAAGGTCTTCAATTTTAGACCTCATGGGATGATAAAGCATCAGCATTTTGATTCTTAATCGAGAATTTTAATTCTCTCCAATTATAGCTGGTATAACTATAAAAAAATCATGATAAAAGCATGATCTGTTACAATAGTATTATAAATTTGATTATCTCCAATTAAAGACCCAGGGTTACCTAATTCAGTGCAAATTAATAATCTTAAAGATATTCCTACTATACCTGCTCAAATACCAAAAATATTTTTATAATTTGTTGAATAGTCATTTTCGCTAATATATTCGCTATACTCAGCTAGAGTATAAGTGATAAACTGTAAATTTATTAACAAGACAAGAAGGCTAAGGCTCTTAAAAGCCTGCTGTTTAAGTTTTATCCAATTAGCCTTTTGGTGGTATCAATAATGTTGAGAATATGCACCATCCCATTGCACATCAAAATCTTATAGATTCTTGTAATTGCACATGGCATCTATTATAAGTCTCACAGTCTTCATCTTCGGAAGCATTCTTTGCCCTACCAGGGATTTTTATTGGAGCTTGTTGGAGGAGTAATCATGGAACATGAGTCATAATAGCATTCTATTATCATATTGGTTAAGGTTTCTGCTTATGAACTTACCACTACACACAGAATCGGCATTTCACCAGGTAATAACAAAGATTGAAGAGGCCATCCAAAACAAAGAAAAATGTCTAGGTTCCTTCATAGATATAGAAGGCGCTTTTGACGGAACAAACTTCCACAGCATAAAAGAGGCAACACAAACATAAAAGAGGAACAATGATGGCTCCGTGGCTTAGCAATGAGTGGCAATGCTTGGGGCCCGGGTTCGAATCCCGCACGGAACAAGTATTTGTATGGCCTACAAATAATTGTTCCGGGTCTGGATGTTTGTCCTTGTGCAATATATTTGTAAACTGCCTCCACGATACAGGAGAAAATCCTAGAGTGGGGGTAACATTTCCTAAACACTAAAAAAGAAAGGTGCACTCAGTAGACATAAAGTTGAACAGGCACTGATTGACTGCCACTGTATACATGCTCAGTACACGAACAATAAAGATCACTGGTGAATGTCAAACAATACAGATTAAGAAAGGCTGCCCGCAGGGTGGGGTTCTTTCACCTCTCCTGTCGAATATGGTCATTAATGAACTCATCATCAAATTAAATGCCAATCACTTCTACATAGTAAGTTATGCTGATGACCTGACAATACTGGTCTCTAGAAAGACAGCAAGCATGGTTTGTGACCTGACCCAAGCGGTTCTCCATATAGTGGAAAGATGGTGCAGGGAATACGACTTAACCATCAATCCAATTAAAATGGTTCTAGTATGTTCACACAAAAACGAATGCTGAATAACTATCATCTACCAAGTCTTTTCAGCACAAAACTCCAGCTATCCTCTGAGGTAAAATATTTAGGTCTTACCTTGCACAGCAAACTTAACTGGTATAAACACATAGAAAACAAAATAAACAAAGCTAGTATAACTTTCTGGCAATGCAGAAACATGATTGGCAAAAGATGGGGTCTGATGCCAAAAATCATACTGTGGCTGTATAAAATTGTAATTCGGCCCATGATCACTTACAGCGCTCTGATATGGTGGAACAAGACAAACGAAGCCACCACTATAAAGAAGCTTCAGCGCTACCAGAGACTGGCATGTGTGGCTGCCACAGGCTGCATAAGGACTACACCAACAGCAGCCTTAGAAGCAATGCTGGAGCTAACCCCGCGTCATCTACATACACAACAAGAAGTGACTTTAGCTGCCTCAATACCTTAAATCTTTAGAATAAGAATAGTGTCCCTCATACAAGCATAATTAATAGAATTCACTCAAAAATTCATATCTTACAAGCCAAGTACGATTGAGATTCCTAAACATATTGAAGTCCACCCAGCCGGAAGGATTTAGCCCAAAAGAGCTTAGAGTTTTCACCGATAGTTCTAAATCAAATGAAGGTTTAGGATCCAGAACTTTCTGTGAAGACCTCAATATCCTGGGTACCTATAACACAGTCTTTCAGGCAGAATGTATGGGTATCATTCAAATGGCCATAACAATAGATACTAGGAAGGTTAATGACTTCTCCATCAGAATACTGACCGACAGTAGGGTGGTACTACAAGCTCTGAGTTGCAATGTGGTGAACTCGGGACTAATATATGAATGCCATCAATAATTAAATGAGGCATGTAAAACCAAGAATTTGACTCTGCAATGGATAAAGGGACACAGTGGATCCAGAGGCAACGATGCAGCAGACAAACTGGCCAGAAGAGGATCTGCTCTGGCCACTATAGGGCTGGAACCAATCATACCAATCCCCTTTGGTAACGTTTGTTCACTGGTACGTAGACACTTCACTTATCAACACACTCAGCTTTGGAAAAATCTAGTAGTCTGTAGACAAGCTAGGGAGGCCCTGCCTGAAATAAACAGTTGTTTAACCAAAGTTCAAATGAGACTGAACAAGCCACAGATCAGGATAGTAATAACTGCTATCACAGGACACGGCACCTTTAACAAACATTTATTTACCATAGGTGTTACAGATAGTCCCCTGTGCAGGACATGTATGGGGGAGGAAGCAAGGGCAGCTCACATGTTACTGAAATATCCAGAGGTCGCATACAGGGCTAAAAATCTCGGCACGCCGGGATCACTCCCCGAAGTTGCCTGCAACATCAAATGACTGTTGAACTTCTTTGGGGAGATCTCATGGCTCGAATAATGTAATTATTCCTGCCCAAATACAAAATGTGTGCTTAGATGTGGAGTTGCGGAAAACAGCCCATTGTAAACTAAACTAAACCAAGGTTTATACTTGTTTATCTATTTCATATGCAGTGTCCAGATTAACCTTAGCAGTAAGCCTCGCTGCTAGAGATGATAGTGCTCTGACAACTTCATCTTGTCAGTGTTGCAAGGGTAATGGTGTAGGACTTGAAATCAGCATATCAAAGAGTCCTATGGTCCCAACTTTGGCTTTAGGAAATGGTGATCAGAACTATGATCTCCTATGGTACACTAGTCTATTTGAAGAAAACCAGCCTAGTCACCAGAAGGAATAAATTACAGAGATACCAGAGAATGGCATGCATGGCTGCCACTGAGGTCATGAGGACACGCCTACCACGGCCACTGATGCCATGCTTGATCTGACACCATTGCATCATTTCATCCAGCAGGAAGCAGAAATGTCAGCTATTAAGCTAAAATTTTGGATAAACTGTACAAAGCTTTACCAACTCTGCAAGCAAACAATGACAGGACCCAACAACAATGTGCAGCAATCAATAAAAAAAAAAAATCCAGTTATACAAACTATTAAAAGATAAATATCAAAGTTTAAAAGAACTGACAATCTTCACTATTGGTTCTAAGACGACGAAGTTGGTTGAAGGTACTGGCTCCTGAACCTTCTAGGAGGACTTATACATATAGAAATACTGCTGAGTTCTTAAAATTCAGTCTACTAAGCTAAAAAGCTAAATGCATGGGTATAATCCAAGCAGAATCAGCAGTTGTGGCTAGAGAAATAATGAATAATGAATAGATAATATGTTTAAATACTCTCCAACAGTAGGGTCTTACAGGTCTTGAACTTGAATATTATAAACTCGGGGCTGATCCACGAATGTATCAAACTCCTAAACATAGTAGGTAAAGAAAATAACATTACCCTTAGTGGATTAATAGCCATAGTGGTTCCAGAGGCAATGACATCAAGGACGACCTAGCCTTTAGTGGCTTAGCTCAAGTAGTTAGGATTTTTTGAGGAGCTTGGGTAGCATGAATAGCAATAATTTCTGCCCGTGCCAGACACCAGCCTGTATAACACTGACATTAACTTAAACATTTCATGACAGAATGAAGATATAAGAATAAACCAAAAATTACATGATTTTGAATTGAAATTTTATATGTAAATGTTTTACATATAAAATTTACACATCTGTATTTAGAATCTCACCTACAGCTGTATATAATCCATTTATTCCTTATAAAATCATACATAGAATTTATTATATGCTCGATAACTTTTAAAAAAACTTATCAATTTCCTGTGTGAAATAAAGAGGTCACAGCCGGGCTTTAAATTATTGTTTCAATTAGTTTGTATTTATTTGCTCTTTACTTACCAAATATATATTCTATCTTTAGGATAGTCTAAGTTCATCAGAGAGGAAAAGAAATACGGTAATGTATGAGCTTTGTTTCGTATCAACACTGAAATAGCGACAGTTGGCCATTTATAAGAATTATTATCCGAACTGTCACCAAAAGAAGGTAAAAATTTTACTAGAATTATTGCAAAAATAAAAAGTTTTATAAATGTGCCCATTGTTCCATAGTTTATTAGTAAATCGATTTACAAGCACATTAAAATAAAGAACTTTTCAGATTATAAAACCACTACGTTTTAGAACTTGTTTCCAAGATTTTCAGTTTCAAACCCACAACCCCACAACAATCAAACAAATCATAGCGTCCCTATATAATATTGATAGCGTCTGACAGTCTGACTTCCTGACTTCCTGTTTAAGACAGTTATTTTTTTTAATAACTGGCTGTACGGCTCTGGGATCTAGCTCATCTGAGCCTGAAGTTACAATATATTATAGTTATCCTTCATATTACACTGCTTCACAATTTGTTGAATCGTCACATTGTGCAGCCCTTGGGAGATTTGACGGCAACTTGAGCCAGCAGACAGCTGACGGTTGGCGATAGTATCTCAAGGAGCCCAAGCAGACAGACACCCCATCCCGAGAATCACATCACCATCAGAGCACTTGTTTCACAGTTTCCACTAATAGTTCACATGCGCAGACACTTAATACACAAAATCGCATCACTTTTACATATCAAAATCCACCTCAAACCATTATTTAAACAATAATACAGGAGCAGCAAATCGCCGCCAGTCGAGTTCCCACTAAAACCTTCATATATTACTTTATATATAGACCAGAAGGAAGTTAGCGTAGAACACTAACTTCTATTCTATTCTATTCTAACATTATTTTTTTAAACTAAATTGTATGCTAATTAATTGCGCCTTAAATGCTCCAGTAGAATCCGAAATTGCTCCACCTCTAACGCCATTAGTTAATTTATAACTAATTTAAAAAAAAGTTATTTTTATTTGAAAGCTGGTGCTTTTCGTATGGCTATCCCATATAAATTTGATCTGACCAGTAGTTTTTGAGTTATCCTAAATAATCTGTATTTAATTGACTTCGACTACATTGATGATGTTCTCATTTGATTTATATTGAAGTCGGTTGTACAAAATTTTTAATTTTACCACTTGTTTTATTTATTGACTTCACATGTTAAAAGTGTCTATCACTCAACTTATGAAACTCAGCTGCATTCTGTTGCTTTTTTATGCTGATATTATGTGGAAAATTTATTCTTCACGGCCCGCAAAAGTCCAGTGAGAAATACACACACCATTTATAAAAGTATTCATTATGCTGTGTGTATTTAACATCAAAACTTAGAGTCTACCCTTTCTAAAGGGCCGGTAACACTCATGAAATTTACCTGGTGTTGCAAAGGTTCAAGGGTGCAGTGGGCGCTTACCATCAGGGGAGCCGTAAGCTCGTTTACCTCCTCTGCTATAAAAAGATTCAATGATATCCGTTACAATTCTCGTAACAGCCTATTAAAGTACACTGCTGAACATAGCTCTCCTGCATATATTGACTTGTTTTAATGAATAAGGGTAAAAAACGAGCACACAGTCCATCTGCTGGTAAGTGGATGCTGTGCCTCATAATGATCTGTGTTGCGCGCCACTATTAATGTCTTGTACATAAAAACACTAATTACACTAGCGCCCTCTAGTGTCGAGTAGCAGAACTAGGAGAGTCAAGATCCTTCCAGAAATTTCGGGACCGAGCTATTTAAAAAAAGGCAATATATGAATCACGGAGGTTAGAAGAAACAACTAGAAATACAGTCAACTGTATTCTGTATTTTATAGTTTATGCAAGGAGGTTGTAAAATATAGGGAGTGCGCACTTCATACTAAAGAAACGTTCCTAAATCAGTGACCTTTAAATGAATGAAAGGCGTTAGGCGTTGCATTTCTTTCTAATAGAGTGTCCATGATACAATATTTTGAAACTATTATTAGTGTATACAGCATCACGGAAAACGAAATACGTATTTTTTTCAATATGGAAAGTGCTGAATAGTGTTATAATTAAACACCGTTTAATATTTTGATTACATTATTACTTCGCTACAGTATCAAACCTTACGGTAACTAGCGGCGGCGTAGCGTGAGTTGACACCCAGGGCGGTTTTCTATCAAGCACCCCCAAAATAAAACAAAAATACTCTACACGTTAACGGGACTTTATTTTGCCAAAATATTCTAATATATTATCAAAGTTTACTTTCTTGTCATTTTCGATAGATAAAATGGAAAGATTGCTTAGTCGCGCATGGCTCATTGTGGACCTTAAGTAAGATCTTTTTAACTTGAGTTTTAAAAGCTTCCTTCACATGAAACTTAATAGTAAAACATCTTAGACACAGCGCTAGATTCGGAACAGATTCATAATAGCCCAATTTTATGAGAAAAGCTCCAACGAATTACATTGAACCGCTTCCTGGGAAGAAATGCTGGCAGCTTTCAAGTCGTAAAACAAAAAAAGCAGAAAATTTATCGTAGATTTTTGTCAGATTTTGAACTATTACACGAAGATCTTCATCTGGTGTCGTTAGCAGAGTGTAAGGCTGAACAACACTAAATGTTACGAGAATGTCATCCATAGCTCTGTAGCGATGGTCTTGTTCCTCGTAAAATATGTCAAGACATTCTAACATATCTCTCTGCAGCTCCTCTGGCAATGTTAGTCCAGCATATCGGGTCATTTCTCCTGGTAAACCTGTTCGATATCTCCTCATTTCTCTTCTTCCTTCAATCGAAATGTCCACATTCTCACATTTTTTGTTACGTAGTGTTAGCAAATAATACAATTTAGGTATGTTACAATATATCACTTTTATTTCATCCGTTTATAACTCACAATTTATTTATCGTACAAATAATCACTTCTACTCTTATTACCTTCACTATATCTTTTTCACAAAACAATCAAGTCTCTTAAGTTTCAATACCTTAGAACTGAATGCCTAGCTTGCGTCGTGACGGCCATTTTTATACCTCTTTTTTTCGAAGTCAAATCCGAAACTATTACAATAAAAATCTTACCGGAAATTCAAAGCTACAAAGCGGAAATTCGATTTACATTTATTAAAGTTAGATGTATATTTCAAGAGATAACTACATTAAAATTAGGATAATTCAATATATTATGCTTAATTGTTCTTTATATTTAATTGCTAACAATCGGCCTTTCCTGACATTTTCACGTCCCGTGAAAGGAAAGTATCAAATGTATTATCATATAAAATTAATTACAGTTTATTTTAAATTAATGAAATAACAACGCAAAAATATTGAAGCCCAATTCATGTCTTCAACATTCACCTGCATGAGACCCCTTCATGTTCTCAACAGGTAGGAAAGGAGTAAAGAACACTGAAGCCCCATTCATGTCTTCAATATTCACCTGCATGAGACCCCTTCATGTTCTCAAGAGGCAAGAAGTAAGTAAAGAATACTGAAGCCCCATTCCTGTCTTCAATATTCGCCTGCATGAGACCCCTTCATGTTCTCAAGAGGCAAGAAGTGAGTAAAGAATACTGAAGCCCCATTCATGTCTTCAATATTCACCTGCATGAGACCCCTTCATGTTCTCAAGAGGCAAGAAGTAAGTAAAGAATACTGAAGCCCCATTCATGTCTTCAATATTCACCTGCATGAGACCCCTTTATGTTCTCAACAGGCAAGAAATAAGTAAAGAATACTGAAGCCCCATTCATGTCTTCAATATTCATTTTCCTAATAAATGATGACATTAATATAATGTACTATAATAAACGAAATAATTATAAACGAATATCAGTATTTTTTTTTTTACAACTAAAATTATTTAAATAGTAATAACTAACTAAATGAAAAAAAGAAATATTATTTATTTCTAATCATTACAGGAAGAAAGAAAATGATCCTTGCAACACTAATAACAAATTATTTGTAATCATTTACTTATTCATTCATCGGTATTACTATTTGAACTTTGAGTATCAGACTCATAGTTTCGTTGATAAACCAACCAAGGATGAATTTTATCAACGGAAAATATACCACCAAAACGTCTGCCTTTGCGTGATATAGGTGTATCTTCGACTACATATCTATCGTTATCGAGAACCTTACATATACGATAAGGACCGCGAACTTTAGAAATTAATTTTCTGCTTTTACCTGTTGAAGGAATCTCTCTCTCTCTCTATTCTAACCAAATCACCTACAACGAACTTTAAGATTTTCCGCTTCTTATCAAAACGCTCCTTTTGTTTTGTTTGATCAATTTTAATTCGTTGCGATATTTCGTTCCTAATACTGTCAATATTATTAGTATTTTGTGCATTTTCATTATCGGAATCACTTAAGACATTAATCTGCACCAAAGAATCATTGGTTCCTATTGTTTTGAAGATTCAGACATAGGTACCTGATAATAGCCAGATGCAAGATCTAAAGAAGTGTAATATTTAAATCCAGATAAATTATCTAATTGATCATCAATTCGTGGTAAAGGGTAATGTTCCTTTACAGTTTTTTTGTTTAATGCCCGAAAATCTATACAAAGACGATAATCTCCTGTTTTCTTTTTAATAAGGATAATAGGTGACGCGTATTCTGACGTAGACTCTCTGATAATTCCACAGTTTTCTAATTCTTCTACCATAGCTCTAACACGCTCGCGTTCTGGTTGAGACAAACGGTACGGTCTATATACTACGGGATTATTGTCATTTAATTTAATATTCATTTCTGAACCTTGTACGCACCCAATTTCATTTTTTGCAAAAGCAAAGCATTGCCTGAATTCGTTTAGAAGATTTAGTAATTTAACTTTATCACTATGGCCCAAGTCTTTATCTATATTTAACATTGAAATTTCCATTAATGTAACAGGAGGAGCAGAGTTATGTTCAATTTTATTTACATAAATATTCTGAATATTTTTTTAAAGGTAGAGCTCGAACCAGTAGCATATCTTTTGTTAAAGAATATAGAGTTGAAGATACACATTTAATCACTACCCGTCCCTGACCATTGTTTAGCTGTGACACTCTGAATAACTTCATATTCACGTTTAGGTAATTGGCAACTACTAGCTTCTATAAATAACTGACCCTTATAATTTGGAGATGAATAAACATATATTTCATTATAACCAAAAGCAACTG